CTGTTACCCTCTTCTTTTAAAGCTTCTGTGCAGCTGATCTTGTTCTTGCCTGCTTCATAAACTCTCAGTAACCTTGCTCACTCTATCCCTACCCCTTATTTCACACACTTCTCTTCCAGTTTGAAGTAGTGACGTTCTAGCATCTTGCAGCTTAGTTCATGACATCCCACTCACTCAGACTGCCTGAATAAGGAGATGGGGGAGCTCCCCATTAACCACCCACGTTACACGTGTAAGAGCCCATCAGTGCTACAGAGCACTCCTCCTGACTGCTCTGCCTGTTGAATAATGAAAAAACTTTATTTCAGAGGCACTGATCAGGGAAAACCTTCCCACACACCTACTACAGCAGAAGCTGGAACAAGGAAACACCTAGAACAGGTGAAGGATTGTGTCATAACCACCCATCCTGGAGGGCAAACAGTGTTAGAGGAGGCTGCACGTTCTAGTCTCCAATCTCCCTCTGCTCTCTGCAAGTCAGATGACCCCCTTGAGAATATTTTCTACCTAGAACAAGCAATATTTTTCTATAAATAACTATTTATACCATAAGACTGAACCCCATATTTAAGGATTTCAAGCATGCTACTTAATTTGCATCTCCCTCAGCTTTGCTAGGCCTTGCACAACTGAAACCCAAAAACCTGGAGCAGTCCAAAAGAGAAGGCTCCGAGGTGACCTTATTGTGGCCTTCCAGGATCTTAGGGGGGCTACAAGAAAGCTGGGGAGGGCCTTTTTAGGATACCGAGTAACAACAGGACTAGGGGGAATGGAGCAAAGCTGGCAGTGGGCAGATTCAGGCTGGCCATGAGGAAGAAGTTCTTCCCCATGAGAGTGGTGAGACCCTGGAATGGGTTGCCCAGGGAGGGGGGTGAGGCCCCATCCCTGGGGGTCTTTAAGGCCAGGCTGGAGGAGGCTCTGGGCAGCCTGATCTAGTGGGAGGTGTCCCTGCTCATGGCAGAGGGGTTGGAACTGGGGGATCCTTGTGGTCCCTTCCAACCCTGACAGATTCTGATCTGTTTTAGCAGAGGACTTTAGAGCCCTATTGGCTCAATGGTTGGACTTGATGATCTTAAAGGTCCCTTCCAACCTAAAGGATTCTATGACCCTCCAGGCCAGTTGCCTCTGCTTCCCTCCAGTGCAATGCAGACTCACTTTCCAGAGGAGTGAGGAACATGTGAAGCCTTCCAAATGGCCTGGAGCCAAAAATGTCTGCCCATACCACTGTGGGGGACCCTGCCTTCTTCAAGATGGGGAGAGAAACAAAAATGGAGACAAAGCTGCCCTTGATCATGTATGAAAGCCAGTGGGATTTGGACTGGAGATCCTGATGGTCTGTTCCTTTCAAAAACTGCCGAGCCACGTTCGCTGCTCTGCAAATTAAATTGCCACCATACATTAACTCCTTCACCACCTGATCTTTGCTGATTTTGCTGATTTTCCCCATTCTACTTCTCCCCATTCAGATCAGCAAACATTTTTCCACTTCCACAGCAATTTCCTACAATAAAACTGTAGCTTTACATATTAACATTTCTGAGTCCTACTCAATGAAAATGTTGAGCTACTAAAAAAAAAAAAAAAAATCAGAATTTACCCAATTTATCCAATTCACATGGTAACTTAAAGCAACTCTGAAGCAGTAAAATATACTCAAGGCCCTGAAATAAGCAAGTGTTAGCTCTTCCCAGGCGTTTAAAACATTCTGATAATTTAGGGGCATATTATATTGTGTAAATCATTAAATTCTCCTAAAAGCTGGGGAAGCTGAAAGGTCAAAAAGGCAAGTGGTCCACCATTCTTTACCTGTTTCCTATTATTAACCTCCACATCACTGGTCTTTTTTCCATAATAACATGGCTAGACAGATAAAACTGAAGGCCTACCTAGCATGGTCACCACGTTTAGAGAACAGAATTCCTCAGCTGCTTTCACAAATTCAGCACTGGCCAGTTAGAGGAAACCAGAGTTGGGATTTCATGTTTTTTCATTAACATTTTTATGGAACTAGAAGCCACAGACTGAACACCTTTGTATGTAGCGTGGTCATATTTGGAAAACATCACAAAAACATCATGTGGAAGTGAGCAAAATACACGAGTAAGACATTTGGCTTTAAAAAGGTTACACAGACCTAAATTCTGAGTGCAGGGAAACCAATACAATGCAATTATGCTAGAGAAGGCATTGCTGCTTATAAAATGTTGTGCAGCTGTTGGAGGAGAGGGTTACAGTGACAAACAGCTTCCCTGCTACAAAGGTGGCAGGAAATCTATCAAACTGGACAATAAAATTGCAATTGAGTTTCTTTGGCTTTTTATAGCAGCTGCATGTATCTTGATGTGTAGCTCTGCAAAACCTATCCAATTCTGTAACACTAGTCCTTTATGGACCAGTTCTTTATCATCCAGTGGGGGTATAAATTAGCGGCAAGGATGGCGCAAAGGGCTGTAAAAAGGGAAAACAAGCAGTAACCCAACACAATTAAGAGATGAAATAATAAAACCACAAATTGGTTATTCTCTTAGCAATGTTAAGGAAATATTTCTGTTCCCATAATCCCCACATCACTTTGAAAGCGTGCTAGAAATCAAAAGCATCTGAGGTGCACTTAGCATCGAACAATTTGTCCACTGAATTATGTCTACACTATATTATTTCTGAATCTTCCATGAATCTCAGTGTTGGTATAGCAGGATGCAAGAACATTCAAAAATGAGAGGGAATAAAAATTCTTTAACATTAGAAATTAATTTTAAGGATGTTTATAAGGACATTTCCATGTGATTAGTAAGTTTTTACCACAGAGAGCGGGTTTTTTTTTTGTGATTTATCCTAATTTATGCTTATGTAATTAGAAGATAGTTTGGAAATATCATCTAGCTTTATATTGCTAGTTGGATAAATTGCATGCATCAGTTATTTACAAGTTCAAATGGAAAATGCATAATAAAGGTAAAAAAAAACCCATACACTTGATTATTGTCTCATCATTCACACCACTACTGTAAAGTTAGTTTCTGGGTGTTCTTGTGATTTAAACTTTTTCATTTAGGCTTCTGGAAGGGGATAATATCAGCACCAATGTCCAAACAAACTGAACTTCTTTATGATTCCTTCAAAATTACAGCCCCACTCTGCTGCTGGCTCTGCCCACTCTCACCCCTCCAAGCTCGCCAGCGATTCGCTTCCTCTGAAGCACATCAGCAGAACAAGCAGTCTGTACACACTGACTGGAAACCAACCAGGTCAGACTTGGGAAAACCTGATACTACAGCCAAGGATCCTCACTGCACCAGCACACCAGGAACCAAAAATGAGAAGCCACAGCATGAAGCACATTGTTTTCCCCTTCACTATGGTACTGCACAAAACCAGACAGCCTTCTGAAAAAAACTCCCAGAAGTAACACTGTCTGTACCTCAGTTTGCTAAAACCATAGGGCTTTTTCACAACATTTGGCTGTGGCACCATAATAAGATCTTGGTTTTGTTCTTCTATGAACTCTAAACCATTGATTAGCTGCATTAATTCACTGAAAATAATGACCAAAGCCTATAAAATCCTTTTGACATAGAAGCTGTTTAAATGAGACTTTCAATGTTACATTATCTTACAGAGCCTAAGAATAGAACATGCTAGATAATTTTTGAAATGAATACCCCAAAATCTCTGCATAACAGAGGTAGAAAGGTGGCCGTCCTGCACTCAGCTCTGCAGCTTTCCCCAGGGACAGCTCCCCTGCAATTCCCAGAATCACTTTTAAATGCTTTAAATTATGCCAGTTTCAATAAAAGCATATTTAAAAAAGCATATTAAAGGGATCTTCACTGCAGCTACAGCTTCCCATTGCACAATCTCTGCATCCTGAGGGAAAGACAGGAAACACATTCTGTGAAGAACAGGAACATTAAGAATATCCCAAAACTACAATGTGATTTCTGTAAGGGTTTAAATTTGGCACCTGGATTCCATTTAGCTAAGTGACTATTTTATTCTATTATTTCTCACATTTTTGTTATATTGATTTCTACATTTATCTCCCTATAGGCCAGGAGTCCACCACCAAGCTAGGAATGTGATAAATAAACAGAGCTGCAAAATAACAGCATTTTTGCTGTCTTCAGAGATTGACTTTTTTTTCAAAAATAAAAAACCATCAAAGTCAAGTCCAGGACCTCAGACAGGCTAACAACTCCTTAGAATCATAAAGTGATCAAGATTCACAGGCATCCTTTTCACACCACTAAATTGCACACTTTTAAAAACAATTAATTCAATTATCCTTGAGTAAATATTTCTGATAAACCAGAATAATTCAGAGGCCCACACTGGCCTCACTCTTTTCCTCAGAATAAGGCAGGGCAGTTACCTGTTACAGCACTGTGCCTTGTTCAAAGAACTACTGATGACTTTTATTATACAACTCTAATCGTAACAACAGCAAAAAAAATTAGACAGAAAAATAATGAAGGGTAACAGCCTCATTCATACTGCAAGGACTTGCTTTCTCACCCAGTCTTCCCTGACAGCTTAACAGCTGAAGCATCTGTCTCAACTTTGATTTCCTTGCTGTTTCACTTGTTTCACAGCCTTTTGCTGTGCCCAGGAGGTGGGTTTATGAACAGACACCGTGCGCCACCTCGTGTCCAGCCCAGCACTAAGGAGCAAAACCAGCACGAAAATGTCCCAGAAATGCTCCCGAAAGGTGACTGTTTCTTTTTTTAAAATACGTGCTATTTTCAATATAAAGTAATACCTCACAGTTATATTTTTATATATATTATATATAAAACTATCACAGTTTGAGCAATAACAGACAGACTTGAGCTCAAACAACAAAATTAACATTTAATTGTAAAATATTTGAAATTTATGCTCAGTAACAGAAATAAACACCAGGTATTTAACTACCGACTTTTACTTCAAGACTATCTCACTCTATGATTCTAAATCTTATTAGACAAAAAAAAAATATGCTACCTATTTCCACCACTGACCTTTGAGTGTGTGATTGACAGTGTGTCCACCCACACACGCCAGCCACCCCATTCATATTTGATGGCATGGTAGAGCAAAATCCGGAATATCGTGTACACCATCTCGGTTATCTTCTGTTCCTCAGAAGTCTTGGGATTAAAACAGCAAAGGGAGAGCATCCACTCCTGCCAGACAGAGCACTGCAACAAACTCCTGCAAAATACACACCTGCTATTCAAACATTTTAAAAGGTATCTTGGAAATATACCCCAGCTAAGCCAGGGATTCCACAGGTTTGGAACAACTGCTGTGTGCAGGCTTCTCTCATTTCACACCCTGTACTAGAGCACAGAATTTGCTGAACAGCAATGAAGCTGTATCTACTTAACAAGCATCATTTACTAGGAGGCCTAGTAAATATTTGTATACAATTTTTGTATGTATTTTCCTACAGCAAGCTGTCTTACCTCCTGTTTTCTCTGCTGTTATTAAACAGTTTAATCATGTCTGAGAGAAAGGCTCGCCGGACCTCCAGGCTTTCTGGGCAGGGTGGAGAATTACGTAGCAGGACTGCAATAACTTTCAAAATCTCTGTAAAACAGTTCATAGGCAACAAAATATTAACACTAAACACAGCATAAAATGTAAGACATCTTCTAAGACTGTTTGTACATGAAGAATGACATCACATAAGGAAGTTTTACACTGACAGAAAGCACAGCACTGAGCAGAACATTTAACTAAAACAAATTGTTCCTTCCAAGCCTTCCCAAACCTGGTCACCATCAGTGGAATCTGCAGGGCTACACAGCTGAAGAAAATGGAATCCAAGTTAAATTATTCTGAATTGTTTTTAACTCTCAGATAAGCAGCACAAGTGCAGCACTGCATGACCAATGACAAGCTGTCAGGATCTGGCAGAACTTTTTGATAAGCAAGTTCACATAATACAGTGCATGCATTTTAAAATCAATATATGTGAAAATGCACAGATTTTGCTCTACCTTAGTGTCACTGAACTTTTGAAGAGTGTGAACAGCTTCTGATTATACTTTAAAACTTCTGTTACAAAAAAAGAAGTTTGAGAAATAGGACAGAACCTTCCTGATATAAAATTGGATCTCTGATGAGCATAATGTTTTCTATATTTTTAGGAGACAGTCAAAACTGTGGCTACATTCCACTTTTGAAGCAGACACTGATTTTGTTAGTTTAAAAAAGTTAATACTTTGAATACATTAAGGTGCAATCTGAACACAGTCACTGTGGTAGTTTCAGTTCACCTTGTAGTCAAAATTGTGGCTACATTCCACTTTTGAAGCAGCCACTGATTTTGTTAGTTTAATACTTTGAATATATTAAGGTGCAATTTGAACACAGGCACTGTGGTAGTTTCAGTTCACCTTGTACAATCTCTTTAAAAGCGAAATTCCTGATTTAGTAATTATTGATCTTACAGAGGCACTCTAGAAGTCACTCTACCTACTAGACAGATAACTCCAGACTCACACCTCAAGCTACAAATAATCTGTATTAACCACAACAGTGACTGCAACTTCAAAAATCTGAAGGGAAAGCAGCAGAAATCTCCTCACATCTCTTGCCTCATATAGATTTACCAGAAGGCAAATAGCATACTGCAGCCAGATTTCTTTCCTCTGTATCTCCTTTGCTTTCCTTTCTCTCCCCCCACTTTCTACAGGAAGTAAACCCACAACTATGACCTACATTTAATGACAAAGCAGCTATGAAAGTGAAAAATCTATTATTTCTCCAGAAAAAAAATGAATTCCCAAAGCTATCATAAGCCCATTGTATTATATACAGAGCACGTTAATAATGCATATAATTCAGGAGAGGAGATTAGTAATTTCTTAGTTCAAAAGACATCTAAAGTTTCATATCAAGATATTTCCCATAAAGTCAGCTAACAAAAACAGTGAGCAGATATATTTCTCCTACTTTCCATCTAGCATTGTCATACTGAATGTAATTTAAGATGAAGGCTGCTTCCCTATTTTAGGTAATTTAGTCTGACATCACTAAATAATGCAATCAGAATTTTGCCAGAACCTTAACATGTATTAAATCAAAGCATCCTGTGCATGCAAGTCTTGAAAAACTGTTTCATAACAGGATTGCACAGCCAAAAAGGGTGAGTTATGAACTACATACACATTTAGACACATAAAACGTCTACCAAAAAGCTACAGAGACACACTTCCTAAATAACTCCCAACTAAATGCACATTATCTTTCCTTCTGTATGAAAGAATGTAAAATGCAGATCAGAATTAAGACTAGAGGATTAAATTAATAAGTTTCTCATGGTTTTAGTTTTTATAGAGCAGATTTCTCTCATGGTAGCACTTAGAAAGGATTCATTCTTACGAGGATTTTGTATCTTCACGGTTGAATCTGGGTCAGGATGCTGTTTATGTATCACTTGAGTGCAAATCTGTTCAGTCAGAATCTAGCAAGAAAGAAGAAGATGCCACATTAATGTTCATGAAGACAGCTTATTGAAAAAGAGCTGGACACGTCCTTCAGCACAGCACCATCATCTCCACAGAGTTCTAAAAACTATCCAAACAATCCCCTTGTTGTCTTTCCTGGTAATTTATTTCATCTTGTTCCTAAATATTTATTCTGAACTATTTTTTTCTTTTCTTTCCTTAAGTGTACAGTTACTTTAAATACACTGGAAGAGAAACCTGAATCTAACCAATCATAAGGCAAGATCATTACTATAGTAAGATTCCACATATGAGTGTCCATTTAGGTTACTTATTATCTAGAATTGTTTATAATGAGCATAATGAAGTTAAGGGCAGGTGGGGGGGTGGAATCTCAAATAGTGAGCTAGGAAAACAGAAAGCATCACTCAGCTGCAGCACAGTAAGGGTTAAAGTCATCTGGAACATATCAGCACAAATATGTAAGCCATTTTCTAACAATGTCTTACAAGCAATTAGGACGATTAGATCCTAACTACAGTATATTACTACCTCAAACAGGACATTGTATGTGGTCATGGTGATTAAGCTTGTCTGCAGCATCAGCCTTTCAGCCAACAATGAGAACAATCCATGTCCAAGCATGACTTCAGCTTTCCTCCTAAAATAGTACAGAGAGAGAAAATAAACTTATGTATTCAACTTGCTTTAGGGGGAAAAAAATATTTTTAAAGTCTGCCTCAAGAAATATCAAATCACTGGAAACTTTTATTTTCTTCCTGAAGTCTTTCACATTTTGTTAAGGAAAAGGGCAAGGATTCCAGTTCTCACAGAACAAGTCATTCCCTGAAGACAGCTAACTGTCTGCCATAAATGCAGCCCACTCACCCACAGGCCCAAAAAGCTGAAGCACACCCTTAGGAATTTCTTGATAAACACCGAGGGAAGGGCATCTCCAGCCTCATTTCAGTCACCAACACAACCATGGACAGCAATCTCAACTCATCTACTACTGCAGTCAACTTGAGACACATTAAATTGGAGCCCAATCTCACCAGTCTTCCCACTGATCTCAGGGGAATTATGGAAAAGGACCACCTGAAAAAGCAGGTAGCCACAGTACAGCTTGGCAAGGCAGTGACAATGCCTGGAGACTAGCTGCCAATAACAATCCCACTATATTAGAAACATATTAATGACCTAAAAATGGATTTAAACCAATACTTACTTTGGAGCAAGATGCTTTAAGAAATATCCCATCACTTTCAGAGCTTGCACTCTGATGCCTTCACTTTGTGAGGCTAAAAGCTTGTAGACAACCCTAAGTGGAGAAAACACAAAGCTTCCTCAAGTAGCTGAAACACACAGCTTTGGAATGACAAACTCACTGCAGGAGAATGCAAATAAAGTTGTACCTGAGCCTAATGTAGAAGAATGATTATAAGACTACAAAAACCAGCATGATGTTACTATTAAAGGCACAATAGTTTGTGATTTCACGTGTTATAATTATATTCAGAGATTTTTAATCAAGTTTAAATCTCTCCCAAGTATCACTACATAAAACATACTGTGAAAGGCTGCTACAATTCCTATATTGAGAACTGTCTTAATTTGATATTTATCCAGAAAACTAAGCAAGCAATTGTTTTAGTATAAATGTGGCTGGGTAGAAACAGCCACATACAGAGAAGGGTTTATTACTAGCACTAGTATTTGACATCTGTTCATGCTGTTGCTCTCTCAGGAGGGCCAGAGGATGACACCAAGTCATGAAGAACACTTCCCCTTTCACCTGCAGCAGTTTCTGCTCTTCAGAACCTCCTTATTTTGCTCCACTTACAATTCTCCACTAAGAAGGTTTAAGAAGAAAGCCAAAGGGAGCAGGGACATGTCTGTAGCAAAGTACTACACTTAACTAGCTGGAGTTCCCTCAAAAAAAAAGAGACTCAGAGTGCAATAAACACAGCAAGGGAAGTGTCAGTGTAACTGATGAAAGTCTGTTAAACTCCTAAAGGTTTGGAGGAACAGTCTTACAGTGGTAAGTGTCCAGTGACCTTAAATATATTTGACATTACCAATTCAGTCTGTAATACTACACAGATCTCATCACCCAGATCTGTGCTTTCCACTCTCCAAATAACAAGAAATCAGACTAGTATTTAACCTTAACTTTTCAAACATTTATTTGCACTACAGCAAAGCTTAATCTTTTACTAAATGAAGTTTATTTACACAGAGGAAAATTCCAATATTGGCCTTCTGTCAAAGTGAAGAATAACAAATGGAAGTTTTTGATCTTTGTAAATCTCCCATAAAAACATAAGACATCTAGATGTTTTTATCAATTACATCTAGTTTCATTAACTGCTCACTTTTCAGACCTTACGACCTTGTCACTACCTGATTTTAGCTGAGCTATGGGTTCATGGGATTGGACAGATCTTTGAATTTGTGAAATATGATTTGGCTTATTCCTACGTGCACTGCTAAGCTCCCTGAAAAAAGAAAAGATTAATTTCCTAATGCTCCATGAAATCATACTGGAATAGAAGGCATAGTACTCAGCCTTTACTGTGACTATTTTCTGAGGAAGTTTTTCAGAAAATTTGTATCCCTTTATTAGGGGGAAGGAAGAAAATCTAAATTCAGTGATTCTTGAGTCTTTCAAAAAATATCTCATGTTATAACTGACACTTTAGACCAGCCAGCTGTACAGACTTGAAAGAACTTATTCAAGATTTACCCTTTATCTATACAAAATTGAGCATTTATCACCAGTCATATATTACTTTAATTCTACATTCCTAAAAATATTACCTAGGACACCTAGACAAAAAAATCCAGTTCTGTACTAGAATTTTAGTGAAAACCCACGAGTGATTTAAACACAGTTACCCAAAACAAAGAACTTATCCTGGAACAAGCTGCAGCCACAACTACAGAACCAAACAAATGAGCAAGCCCATGAACAATGTTCAATCAAGCAATAGAATTCATTTCTCTGCTTCCCTGCTTGCCTTAACACAAAGTATGAGGGTTACCTAACTGCACAGGGAAAAAAATATTTCCTTACACTTATTATTTCTTCAGTAGATTTCTTGCTTTTAACATTTTCATTATTCAAAAACTCCAAGTAGTTATAAAGCTTTGTAAAATTATTTTTCAACTTTCAAGGCTATGGTGTTTTAATTGGAAAAAGCAGCCACATCAATAAGCATATAAACAACCCATTAAGTGACTGGAGACAGTACAGGAGCAAGGAATGTACCAAATGAGACAGGAAAAGAAGTGATTCCTCACTGTGGGCTCACTACTCATACTGACTTGCCCATACACTAGTTAATAAAAAGCAAAATGTCTACAGCCAGCTGTTAAATAAAACCAAACATATTGCATTGGAGACCCAACGTGACATTCAAATACTTTATTATTTAGAGTTTTTATTAGTTTCCCACAGCATAATACATTACCATACAAATGAAGTCAAAGCTGAAGAAAATGGAGAAAAAAAAATGGTAGCCTAGCACTAAAAGAGGAGAAAACAATTATGAATGTGCCTCAGTGTTGTCTCTTGAGAAACAGCAACTGAAAAAAATATATGTATAAATAGGGGTTAACCAATAGGTGCAACAAAATGTATGAAATAAGACTCTGCCTTGACACAGCCAGAGAATTACTACCCCACATACCCTTCCAGGAATAGTTCTTACATTTGTTTGCCTGTTCCATTTTTTTCCCCATTATGTCCAGGCAGCTTTTCTTTAAAGCAGAAAGTTCAGTAATGTGACCACCCCCTCCGAAAGCCATAACACAAAATCAGACTCATAACTTGCTCTTCATCTAGCAGATCTTGTGTTTTTACTGGCTGGGGGACTTGCTCCTTTTCCTAACTTTCTCGAACTTGCTCCTGTCCCTACTTTTCTCTCACAATAATGTAAAATCATATTTTTCTGCTTGTTAGGATAAAGATTGTGAACAATCCATACCAAGCAGAGCTAAATTTAAACAAATAAAAGCTTTCTTCTGCAAAAGTCCTGTAATGCTTTACATGTTAAAAAAAAAAAGGCAACAAAAGGAAAGGAAAGCAAGTTAACAAGATGAGAGGAAATCTGAATGAATTTTTGTCAGTCCACATTCAGTTCCAGCAGACAGGTAAGAAGGGGAGGCTGAAGACTAAGCACTAGTAGATGAAGACTGAACCTCCATGTACAGACTAACCCAAACTGATCACTACCTGTTTAAGCATGACTGAGAGACTTGAAACACTGAAAAAAAGACTTCACTGATAATAAATCCAACATCACCTCTTGCCAAAAGACCACCTGGACACAAAAATCTCCCAGGATGAGGAGTCTAAGACTGCAACACATACACAGACAAAGACCTTTCAGAGCTCATGGGAATTCCAGCAAGCAAAAGTATGGTCAAAATCCTATTTCCTTTTGCCCACTTACAAAATTCAAACTTACTGTAATCCATTCCTCTGATCAAAAGCAGGGATCATAGAACTGGGATGCTCTGACATCAGAGCAACAAGCAACTGCAAGACATCCATTAGATTGTCATCCTGTTGAATAAAAGTTACAAATCTGAATTAAAAATCCATGTATGCCACAACATTTTTTTTGGTTAAAGAACCACCACAAAACATTTCAAAATGATCTGGGGAGGAACAGTAAACTAAGGACCGAAATAATTAGGTCGAGATCAAAAGAGGTATTGATCTGGAAGACAAGTGCAGGAGAAAGTATTACCAAAAAAATACTTTATTTTTTTTGTGTGAAAAGTGATATATCTGTGCCTGGTATGTAAGCCTTGGCCAGGGAATGGACTATTGGACATTTAAATGTTTCATTCAAGCTGCTCAGTGAAGTTTTCTGTAATATTAGTTTAAAACACTCTAAACCACAGTTTATGAACTCGTTCCAAGTTAGTTATAACTAAAAATAACCCATGAAGTAGCAAAATACAACTGTCTTCCCATTCTTTGGGCTATTAAAATGAAAGCTTACTGAAAAAAAGATTCCACTTTTGAACAAATAACTACTCTGATTCATTCCCCAGCTTTCCATCCCCTGAAGAATGGGGTTCACCTGATGATGTTGTTAGCTTACATTGCAGATACTATCAGCTGATAGTTGTATGAAAAGGCTGAATCTTACTTTTTTTGTTGATGTGCTTCAGAATTTACAACTGGATACCTAATTTTGTGGGATTCATCATTCATGGGTCTTTTAGACTTGAACACACAAGCTGCTAAGGTAGTTAAAACATCACCCCCTCATCTGAAGGCTATAAAAACTTCTGCTATTTTATTTTATTCTTATGTGTTACCAAGAGTCTGAATTTTTTGCATCTCCATATAAAGTAAAATGACTTAAACTGCTTGACCATGGTACTACCAAGTAGTAGCAACCAGCACAGAGAATAAAAGGAAAATAAAGGTGTAAACAAAAAAAGAAAAAAATCCATACTGCTTGAACTAAAGTTCAATTAATTCCTTATTTTACCCATTTCAAGCACCCTTACAGAGATGAGATCAGTTAGATTTATGCCCCCATTTCCCTTGTCTTTGATGTTGCATCTGGCATAAAGTGCCTTTTCCTGGTGCTAAAATATGAAGATGCAGATGTATCAGTGGTAACCAACATTTTCTCCCAATTAAGTTTATATCCTACTCTTAGATGCCATTAACATACATCTTTATTTTTTAATGCATGTTTTCAATTTTATTGCTTTATTTAAGAAGCAAAACGAAGAAGAAAAACAAACCAAAAGTATTCCTGAGGCAGCATAAAACAAGGGTTTGTCTTTGTTTTAAAAGTCAGTCTCACCATCTGTTTTTCTGCTTGGTAAATCAGTTTGCAGAACAACATAAGAAACCATTTTGACTTGCTGGCTTAATGAACTTCAATCTAACATTGAGCATAGTGCTTAAATCACTGCAGGAATATTGGCAATTCAGCATACTGCACCAAGAGCTGGACAATGTTTGCTGCTTCCTCTCCAGAGCCATCTTGTGGCATGAAGAAGGTAATATTGGAAAATAATTCAAATATTTGGTGGTCACAAACACAAGCAGCACACACCTCCTCCCACACAGCCCCAAATTAACACTTACCTCATGTATAGTGAGCAGGTAATTGAGGATAGCCTGTAATTCATCTTCTTTTATTCCATAGTCCTTTAAAAACAATCAGGTTTTAGCTCTCATCTTTCAAGTACAACAGTACTGGTCCCACAAGAACATAATTACAAACAATGTTTATATGCAAATCAAGTCCCACAAGACAAATTTATTTACACTCAGTCCTATAGTAGCTTCAGGGATGGAAGGCAGCTTCTTCCCTGCCCAAAAAACACCCACTGAAGTTATGAAAGTGCTTTAATACAACTCCAATACAGGCATATAAATTAAGCTAGAAAGTAATACAGTACATGAAACAATTAGAGTAACACATGTTAATTGATACAGACAATCTGAACTGAGAGCTTCCTATTAATAGTAGAATTAAGTTGGCAAAGAGGATTCTACAGTAGACCTGGATTTTTAATGATAAGCCTGTTAGCTATGCCTACAGTTGTCCACTGCTGATTTTCCCCTCCAGAATCCAACCTTCAGTTGCTATCAGTTTTGCAGAAATTTAAATAATTTATGGCTTCTATGTCAGGAATCTGCCTCGAGGTCTTCTGGGTGAAAATAAAATAAAACCCAACAGTTCCCAAGAGCAGGATGAGGCTCTTGGGAAAAGGCTCCTTCATTTCTAGGGCTTTTAAAGCAAGTCTGTCATTTCCCCAAAATATTTTGCACCAGTGTGCAAATAGAAAGTTTGCAGAAGGATCAATCTCTTCTGATGGACATGCTCTCCCTGTCCTTGTGAAACTATCCCAAACTGTCCAAGTTATAAATCTCTGACAGAAATTTAAAATATATATATAAAAAATGAAATTAACTCCTAATGAGTCTTTTAGAGTTTGATAGCTAATTTGTCCCTGAGACTGCAACTGCAGAACATCTCATTTTAAGGAAGAAAAGGAGAGTCAAGAGCAGAACTTTCCTGACAGTCCTCCATGCTGCTGGGGCTGAGGGCAGCAGCACTGGGAGGATACTGGTCCCTTGGCAAGAGAGGTGAAGGGGGGGAAAAGGGAGATAAGAGTCAATACAGGAAAGTCAGTCTGCAGAAGGGAGAGAAGAGCTGGATCAGAGCTTACAACAGGAAAGGCTTGAGAAGAGTCTCTAAGCAGTAGAGCTGCTGAATTTCAATATTATTACATGGTATTTCTATTAACTTGTTCACAGAATTTAACATGTTTACAAAAAAAAAAGCTACATACCTACAAAGAGCACTTCTTTATGAAAGGAAACTTAGAAATCCTATCATACTTTAAAGTTGTCCTACCTTCATCACTAGCTGTTTAATGAACATCAGCAAGAACGCTCGCAGAGATAAAATCTCTTTCTGAGTAGGTCGTGGCCCATCTACAAAAGAAGGAAAGTAGATAGAGATGCCAATGAGGAGTTGTGAGCACAGTATGCATCTTCACAAAGGAAAAGGCATTTTCTGGGTGAAAAGGGCACAATCCTAAAGTTATCTTTCCTCCACTTCAGACTACAGAATGCATTTTATCAGTGTTTATTAGCAAAATACACAATCAGGGAGGTTCTGCTAAAGCTTTTGTTGAATTCAGTTTTCTAAACCCTTCTGAATTCATGATTTTACACTTTCTTGAAGTGTCTATGAAATAACTTCATGCAAGGAGATAAGACTGATATGGGAACTTGGTCAGAATTTCCAGATCTCAAATTTCTGCAGTTTACAGTTGTTTTTAAAGTCCTTCTGCTGAAGCTCAAAGAACCACCTGCCCATTATCACACATTGGCTCTATACACAACAAAAATCTGTTTTTACACCTAAATGTAAAAAAATTTTACATTTTTAAATCTAAAAGTACAAACCTATATATAAATATTACTTTGAAAGCCATGACTTATTTGTTAATTCAACAGCAGAAGGACTTGCTCCTGTCATTTTTGTTTAAAGCAGACTTTCACTGAAACATTTTAAATACTCAAAACACTGAGTAGCTCCCAGGAGAGGCAAGGTTAAAAAAACAGGTGTGACCACATGTCAAAGCCAAGTAAAAGCTTTCACAGAGAGAGCAAATGAACTGTTGCAACTACATTTCTAGGGATAGTTTTTATGTTTTCTCATAGCTTCACAGTTCTTATGATCTTAATCATCAGGGAAAAGCAAATCAACTAGCAAATGTAAACACTCATGCAAGTTTGGTTTTACCCAGTATAGGCCCACTGGCATACTTGGTTTAAGAAGAATTATTTTCAATATAGAGCAGCCTAGTCAAAATAAGGGATTAGACTGCATTAGGGAGACTGTCCTACACATATGCTTGCCTCAGGCTCAATAAATCAGTCCAGGAACTAATGAAGTAAATCCATGTTTTCACTAAAAAGAAAGGAGAAAACACAGATGTTTTGCTCCTTACAGGACACAAAACAGTACAAAATGTCTGCAGCCCTCCAACAGGAAAGGTTGGTCCTCCTGAGAATTTGGTGGCAGAAAGTCAGACACATCTAAGGAGCACTGACTCCCAGCACAGCTTCATCACCTGCCTCTCTGAAATTCCAGAGCCTTTGTCACATGGGACAGTAAAGATGCAAGTCCTCCTCCCTCTGCCAAGGCTGTGTGCCCAGGCCCATGGAACACAAACACAGAACAAGTTAGAAGAGTTGTAAAGTCAGATTTCCAAAGAGCATCAGTTAACCCTTGCCTGTGCCAGTTCCATGGGCATGTTTGTGTTATGCTGGTGCACACTTCACTTCTCCCAGTGCCTTTCACAGTACTGGTTTCTGCAGTCAAGCAGTCACCCCCTTGGCCTTTTTTCTTAGGATCAACATTCTTGCTCTGTGTCAATGTCAAGTACTAAGCACCTCTTCTAAACTTATTACTTCTTCCACCATGAGTTTGCTGTCTGGATGCTTATTAAGCAGCTTTCCAACGAGTTCAGGTCTCTACTTCTGTCAGACAGACTCAGTATGGTTGTTTTCAGTGCTACTGCTATTATCAGTAGGTCTCACAATCACTCAAAGACCCTCCAGCACTGGAACAAGCTCCATAAAGGGATGACATTCCCAAGCAACTACCTACCACTTCTCTGGTGTGTTCTAGCTGATATTAATTCACATAGGTTTCTGATGACATGAGGATATGACTGCTGAAGAAAGTTTCCATTAAAATGTGAAAAAAGCCTTCAAGAATATTCTATGGAGAAAAGCAGACTGCTCAAAGTGCTACAGGGAATCCCCCCCAGTAAAGCGAAATCCTCCCTGGAACATTTACAGTTCTATAGATTGTATAGGATACTTAAATAACAGTGCCCAGGCTGTGAGAGCAGCAATGACACCCACCTACACCCTTGGGAGTGATTCCACTGCGATCCTGGGGGTTGACTACCCAGTAGTAGTACTTGAGGGTGTGCATGACCAGGAGCACCGTCCCCACGCGCCGGATGGCGCCGTAGATGGTCACCATGCTGAGGAACTCCGTGGAGAGGTAAGTGTAGAGGGTCAGCTGAACCTGCCCCACCCAAAATCATCACAGCACATCAGTCAACTGCACCCTCACATTTCTAGTAAACGTCTTAAAGAAATACATTTCCTCTGCATAGCTCAGTCACAAAGCTCTTAAAGCTCTTGCAAACTGATAAAAATCTCATGTTATTTCTAACACTATAGGCTGCTGTGGGGTTTTTTTTTAAGCTGGTCCACACTTCAAGGAGTATGAAAGGATCAAGGAGTATGAAAGGATGGTCTTCACACCACCACAGGTAGCTGAGACTGGAAGGCACCTCTAAAGGTCACCTAGGCCAAGCTCCCTGTTCAGAATAGGGTCACACATGAAATATTATAGAAAGGTCAATACTTATTATAAGCTTACGTATCCATTATAAGCTTCATTATTTCCCTTTTTCTTCTGAGAAATAATGATTTAAGCAATATTTAATAGTTTAGCTGTAGAAAACAAATATTTCACAACAACTTCAACAGTAGCATGGTTAGTGCTGCCTCAGTTTTTGAAACACAAAACAAACCAGAAAACCTGGTAAGAGGATTTCAGGTAGAATCGACTGGAAAGTTTTTATCCAAGCTCCTCACCCTCACAGAACATAAATTCACCAAACCAAAAATGCTCTGCAAGGAATTTAAATGGAAATTTAAATGAAGACTTCAAATCTGACACCCAGGATAATATCTCTTAAAAATTGCTGGGTTTTTGCCAACTAACCCCTTCAAAATTCCATCCAAATCTAGAACACAGATGGGGTCAGGGACTCCCAAGTGTGCTCTGCAGAACACTGCCCATTTCCAAACTCCCTAAAAACCTTGGGGGTCTGCAAAACTTGACAGCTACATGCAAGGAAGCAGAATCTGAACACAATTCCTGTATGATTTCTGCTGGGGAGCCAGGACCTATAATTCTTGGAGTCCAGGCTTGGTCTCAACACTTCCAAATCAATACATCATAAGAGAACTTTTTCAGGAGAATAAGCAATTTCACCTGTGCTGGGATGTGAATCCATATTGCAGGGTTCAGGAGAACATGGTCACACAGCTGCTTCAGCAAGGGCACACCATTGGTTAGGTTGCTCAGGTATTTTGAAAAGGCAAGGCAGAGTTCTAGCACAGCTCGGGTAACATGGGCTTTGGAAGACTGGAAAAGAAGAGCTGTTTAAGGGAAAGACCTGCAACACTGTAGGAAAAGTATTTCTCTCAAAAAAATTCAGTGTTAATGTAAGACATCCAGACCAATTGGCTTTACCTTTTCTAGGCTATGTCCTATCACAAGGAAGCCCTTGCAGGAAAGCATCTGCTCTTGCATAGCAATGGAGTTCTTCAGCAGCTCCATGATGAAAGCCAGTAAAGTAGAACTGAAAAACAGAATGGTTGAGTAAAGAAAAATGTTTTAAAGGTTTCCAATGAAACTAAGTACTTCCAAATTAACTCTTTCATCACACAGCCTAAAGATACATTTAATGTCTCATATAAATGCTTAGATGAGAATTTTAAAACAAAAAGCAAGACTGAATTTTGAAATTTCTTGAATTCAATTCTTGAATTCATGCATTTTTCATTTAAAATTCAGGATTCTGAGATAACCACACAATAGCAAAATTCTTCTGGAAACACATTCTTGCAGAAAGGCAACACTTCAGCACTTCACCCACAAACTTCTGCAGCACCAGTCCCAAACACCATTCCACCTCCTGCTGCTTTCAGAGGAGCAGAGGCTGGAAGTATTTTTCTAAACACAGCCTTAGGATTGGTACAAGCTACTTTAATGCTGTGCTGCTGCCAGAAGAAATGTTCATGTCCCTGCCCCTGGGTCACAACTCTAGTGCCTACGACTCAAGTCCTTCAGGCAGCTGAAAACCCCTCTGCTGCTGGGCCAGTTGGCAACTGCACCAAACCCCTGATCCAGCACACACATGTCCCAGGCTGAGCCAGCTCAGGAGAGGCCCGTGGATGCATAAATGGGCTGAAGGGACATTGCTGACCATCAATATCCAACAATACAGGTATAGATCACCTTCAAACAGTCAGAAAGAAACAGAGCAAACTCCATCAGGATGCAGAAAAGCAATCCCTTTGCTATTAACACTAACTCAGGAGCTCCACCACTTTCTGGATGTTCAGAAGTGAACTGAGTTGAAACAGAGCTGAAACCAGAGGAAAAGCCTGGCAGCAACACTGAATCTGTATCTTTCAAAAAGCCTGAAGGTAAAAAAAGCAAAAAAAAAAATATTTCAAGAAATAACTTCATACAGCTGAAAAAATTCATCCTTCACTTTAAGGTCCTGCCTGTAACAAGGCCACCTTTTTGTTGCTAGACATACCTCACTGTTGCACAGGACAACTGAAATCACTATGCCATTTAATAAAGTAAGAGGCAATTTCCTTTATTTAAACAGCCAAAAAAGAACATGCACTCACCAAACAGTTGTGTCAATGTGGTCGGATGAGTATTGCCTGTAGTCTAACTGTGCAAAGAGAGGGAAAAGCACCTGCACCCCTCCAATGGAGTGCAGGGCACTCTGGATTGAATGTGTTAAGACTGCTTTCACATCCTGACAAAGAAAAAGTAAGAAATAATCAAATCTCCTTCAGAAAACGTTCAAAGGTTTGTTAGAAATAGTTTGACATTTCTTCAATATAAAAATTTTACTGTTACCAAGGAAAGAGGCAGCTGTACAAACTGGCTGCCCCAGCCACACTCACTGCCCTGTCTGGCTGACCTCCTGCTTCAGATAGTCTAGAGTGTAGATCTTCAGATCAATGTGCAGGAGGTGGCTTGCAAACTCTAAGCCACATCTTTAGTAATAGAGAAACTCTAGACAAGATCACATTAAAAGCTGCTGACAAATGAGAAGATGGAGGAGTTCCAAGTATAGGGAAGAAAAGGGTAGGTAACATATCAACAGGGCAAAGGAGAGGAGATAGGTTAATATTTGTAGAGGAGAAAATGTATGTCAGAAAAGAAGAAGGATTTTTTAGAAAAGCTAACACAGCCTTTGTAATACTGACATTTTATTAGGCTGTAACCTTGATAAAATAATATTTTTCCTTGGGATTCTTGTGCATCCACATTAATTCAAGAAACAGGGGAGGTAGTAGTGGTGACAACCCAAAAAAATCCCAACCTGTCAGCAGCTCCCTATCTTGTCCAAAACCCTACAAAACTTAAAAGTCAAGTTTTCAAAACAGAAACCTTTTGTATCCTCCAAATCTACGAAAACGTTGAAATACCTGCAGCATGAGGGCATGTGGTGAATGAACAAAAATGGAAGGGTTCTCCTTGGGGGATGACTCTAGACACAGCTGGGCATCTGTAGCCCTTGGATTGTACATAAAAGCAATAGCACTGGATAATTTGCCATCGTACAGCAACAGCTTGTGATGTTCAGCAAGGAAGAGATCACTTTCTGCCTTGAATTTGAATGTTCCCTGGATTGGGGAGGAGAGTTAAGGAAAAAAAAAAAATATTAGATTACACTCACTGAGAATACAGTTTAGAACAATTAAAAAGACTAAAACATTGTTCTTCAATCCAGCAATAATTCCAGACAGAAGGGCTCCCACAAGAAGAGTCAAATACAACTTTACAGACTTAGAACTGCAGACATTTTTTTGGACCCCTGAAGAGCAACATTGCCAAAATGGCAGGTGAGGGAGAAAAAGCCATCAGCCAGGAACCAGCCTGACAGTCAGCAGTGTTCACTCAGAGGGAACCAATAATTGAGGAGCAGACAGAATAGGAACTATCTTTTTATGTGTGTGTTTGTACAGCTGCTTTGGAATAACAGTCTTCAATTAGTGCCCTTCAGGCTATGACCAAACAAATAATAAATCACAGCAACAAAACTAACCCTCAGCACTAACTTCACATATTTAAAGAGAACGACCAACACAATCAACTATAAAGCTACATTTTAAAACAAGTATGTCATACTTGATCCTTAAAACTCAGTGAAAAAGTGTCCCTAGCCAGAGTTAGCAAGGGTGTTCTCCCTCCCCCAGCCACCAGCATGGGAATTTTGAGAAGGAACCAGGAATATAGATCTACTTTTTATAATAAATGAAATAATTTCATTAATGCTTACTCACAGTTTGTAAAGTGACACATAAAGCTTATAGAAGAAAGGTGGAGGAGTTCATTGAAAAGATTGCACAGTAAGAACACGTTTAGAATGATGCAGATGTGTCACAACGTTCTGAAAGTCCACCATAAAGAGTCTTATCAGAGCTCAACTTTGGGAATTTACAGTCAATTCTAAGGTACCTTATAGCCCAGACCAAGCTGATAAATGGCAAATATCTGAGCAGCATTGAGAGCCTCACTGAAAAGGTAAACGGCTGTCATCTGCCCACAGAACACCCGGTTGGCATCCGCCGTTTCTGAGGAGCCCAGGAAACATTTGTCAAATGTCTGAAAGTGAAACAGAACACATTAAACAGGGCTTCCTCTACAGTACACCAGCAAATCATGCAGAGGAGGTACATATTATAGGGAAAATTATTTTTACATAAGCAAGTGTTTGAGAGTCTCAGCGGAAACAGAGTTTGAGATGTGTAAGACCAGTTCTACCAAAAGGTTAAGTTTATTTCAACATTTTTTAAAAATTCATTCAATGGGGGAGGTTTATTAATAAAATGGCAAAGGCTATCTATTGAATCCATGGAGATGATCAAGCTGTGCTAGAGAGGGGTTACTCACATCACTGGTGTTGACCAGCCAGGTTATCTCTCCATAGGAGGCCAGCTCCCCGTTGACATAACACCGCAGCTCGCTGTTCTTCCAGCGGTTGTAGATGTGCACTATAGTAACCATGTACCACTGGGTGACAAGAAAACAATGGATACAACTCTACAGGCTCTTGGAGAAAGCATTAAAGTGGATCACAGCAGAACAAATTCAGCTGTTTATGCCAGTTAAATTGACTGAAATACTTGAAGTGGAAAAGACTGAGCCATTGGCGAGTTTTCTTGCATAGCTATGTCAAAGGATATGTGGATTTTTTTTCCACAAAAAGTAGACACAACTTAAAAGATATTTATGGCATAGAACACAAAATCTTCACAGCAATTCTGAACCACATTTACACTGAGTTTACACAGTGTAAATAAGTTTTCGTCTGGGTTACTCTTAGCATGATGGACAACTGGAAATGTGGTCATTGCAAAGAGCAGGGATGCCTCCACGAGCTAAAGACTTTCAAAGGCTGGGCACATCAAATTATCACAAGCAGGATCCATATTTACAGCAAGGGACTACTGATAAGAAATTCCTGAGGAGGCCTATTCTCCCACAAAATGTTTACACCAGAAACATCATCAGAATAGCCAATTGAAAAAGAAAACATTTTCAACATAGCATACTACTACTTAACAGGCAAGTAAGCCTTGAAAATAAAGAATAAATTCCATTTTAATTCCTACGTTTAAAAAGATACATATGATAAAGCACCAAATGCAAGCAGACTGTTTCTCTGCACAACCTGAATGAACAAAAACGTTCTCTCAAGAATTAATCTGTTGTTCTCCCATGTGTAAGAAGATCAAACTCCTATTAATGGTCCTAGCTTGATTAGGAAAAGAAAATGTGGGTTAGTAATCATGCTCTCTTAAAATAACACTGCATGTGTCCACATCAGCTAAGAACATGCAGGGGAGCCTCAGCAAAATCCTTTAGGAAAAGGAAAAAAGAATGTCTGGAGGTGGGAGAACACACAGAGAAGGAGAAAAACCACAAGCTTTGTGAATTTTAAGCTTAGTATATGTACTAAGAATTCTCAGAGATCTGACAGCAGTCTCCCAAACTCATTAAACTTTTAGCAAACTACACTTTCTAGCTCTTTCTTATAAATTTCATAAGTAAAATTTAAAAGATTCAAGAATTCAGAATACAAATTAGTTCTGCTCATTCCAGTGTAACTGTTACCACACAGAAAGATCAACACTCCCCCTTAGGCTACTTTTTTAAATTTACAATACCTTTTTGAATGATTTTACTATTTTTTACTCACCTTTTGTGGCTTGAAATCAAATTTTACACAATGCTGGAAACCTTTTCCCTTTGATTTTATGGACGTTACAATCAAGCAGCCTCCAACAAAGTGGGCAGAATAACCAAGTCCTTTGTTTGTTCGAAAACTAACAAATTAGAACAAAATCAGCACGTGCACAGAGGGAAGCAGAAATCATTGAACAATTAACAGAAGCTGAACATCAGAAATATGGTTTTTACATAATACTCACCAATACAGGTAAGGCTTATCCTTATCCACATTGATATTATTTACAGGATCCATTCTTAGCCAAGTGTGGAAAGTGAATCCATTCTGGTATGGCCACTTGGCTATAGGAGGTAAGGCAATAGCCTAAGGAAAGCAAAGAGTTATTTATGTAGAAAGATCAGCATGACCTAAGGAAGAATATCCAGCTGTAGAGACACAGATCCACACTACAAAGCAGCAGTTTGTGCTGGCCTAACTTCTGTGCTTTTGTTACTCTGCTGTTAAAATATTTGATTAATCAAGTCTTTTAAAACTGGCCTTTAGATCTCAAGGAGGAGGAGTAATAGCAGTCCACACTTCAAAACTGAAATGCTTTAGTGGAAGCTTTACAGCACAGAGACTCCTCAAAATGCAAATTCAAAGATGATTTGGTTTTGTAGAAAGCTGACAAACCCCAACTTGAGTAGTCACAAGACTCTTTATTATGTGCCCATGCTCCATTTAGTCACCTCTGCCCAAGCATTAAAAATCCTTCTCTATACAGGTAACTAAATCAGGCTGCATGTCTTTGAGCCCAGCTTTTGGGAACTGGTAGCATTATCATTTGGTTTGACCCACCATGGAGTAATTATATTAAATACTTATTTCCTAAGACTTCTTAATTTAAAAATATATCAGAATATTCACACTATGTGCTATTGGGGTACCTTGGTAACCTTATAGTTCAAGCATTCAACACAATTATTAGAAGTGAAATACAAAACCAGCACATGGATAGCCAAAAGGAACTACTGTCTGTCTATTGCCAAGTTCTGTTGTATATGGAAAACATAACTGGCAGCAGCATCCTTCTCACAGTCTGTGGTTTTCAGCCTCAAGTTTTCATTTCAAGGAAATTCATTGTCATCAAGTTGGTGAAATTTGAACTCAAGGAACCGAGGCAGAAAAGTAATGGGTTTATGTGAAGAAAACTGCAGACACTATCTTATTCTGAATTAAGCATGAAATTTTGAATATACCATTTCATTCTACAATTGTAGCAGCAAAAGTGTTGACTGGACTTGATTTTCTACAGAAGGTTCTGCACAGTGTTCTCCAGCTACCTATTTAGTTTCAAATTCTTTTTCAGGTGAAACGCCACAGATCTGAAAAAGGAACCAGTCACCTGAACAATTACAAAAGACTAATCATTGTTAAACTTAATCCTCTTTCAGTATCATTCAACCTGTATATGTCCAGGATCCATGTTTGCTCAGCAAATTCTTGTAAGAAATTATTCCCATCTCTTGCTCATGAAAAGAGCTACCCAATGGTGCAAGCATGGCCACTTCCAGTTCAACACCTTCTGTGGTTTCACTAGCAATGGTCTGTCAGTATAGGGCTGTATTGGGTTTGACTGGTAATAAATTAACTCCCCCAGGTTGAGTCTGGTTTGCTCATGACAGTAAGTGATGAGTGATCTCCCTGTCCTTATCTCCACCCATGAGCTTTCCATGGTGTTTCCTCTCCCCTGTCCAGCTGAGGAGGGGAGTGACAGGGTGGCTTTGGTGGGCACCTGACATACAGCCAGGGCCACCCCACCACTAAGCCACTCTCACACACACTGGATACTAACACAGACACCATCCCCACACAAACATGGGAGTGAAAAGCAGGCAGAGCCTCCTTGTTACCAGATTTATCTGAACCAGTCTGGAAAAAAAAAATCAGACCAAAAAAAAGCCTCATTTATCCATTCTTTATGTAATAGTACTTCTTCTATAGTGATAATGCAAATTTATTATAAGCATGACTTATTTCAGGATAATGTAGGTGTCAGGTAGAGGAAAAAAATTGGTTAAAACTCCTTGTCTGTGACAATGACAGATGAGACAGAAGAACAGCACAAATGAAAATAACCAATGGATATAACAGAACAACAAATGAACAAACAAGAGACTTAAAATATCTACATACTGCAGCACTTTTTCCTGGAAAGTTGAAGAAGGCATCAGGTCCATATTTCTGAGGCATGTGTTTTAACACAGTCAGTAACTTCCCAGCATGTGGTGGCTGATAAAGAGAATTATTACACTAGTAAATAAAACACACCTCTAAGGAAAAAAGTCTATACACACAAAAAAAACCAATCCTGACACAATTTAAAGCTTTGCATGTGGTTGAGTAATACTCTAAGACACTCAGCACTCTCAATAGACAGCACAAGGAAGGGCTGTGGATACCCTCACACAGTAGGTGTGCTGAAATACCATCTACTGGGTAACTAAATTAAGGACTTAAAGCCCAGAGCCACTTGCATCCAGCATAAACTAAACTGACCCTGAATGATGGTTCCTCCCTCTGTTGATTCTCATCAGCACTGGGGATTTGCAGTGAGCTAAATAACTGATCCAACTGAAAGGCACTTTAGGAAAAACAAATGCAGATCAGTTTTCAGTGACAGCAGTTCTGGACTGTGGCTGCATGAAACCCAGGCCAGCACAGGAGACAGGGAAGATGTAGCCAAAGGGAGAGGGAGGATCAGCAGGCAGGACTGTTTTCCTCAGAACTACAGTCATACACTGGAGTAAATGTCTTTGGTTACCTATATCCCTTCACACAAGTCCATGGAGAAGGGCTGAAGTCTTGAGGGCAGTGTAGAGCACCTAAACTGAGTGCTCAGTAACTGTGAATACTTCATATTCACATATTAATTCACATATAATATTAATATATTTAAGTATACTTAGCACTTGCCCAACACCAGCCTAATTCTGCATTAATTTTCTTATAATACTCAGCAACTATGAACTCCAAATCAAGTGTATGATTTGGAGTTCACAAAAGAAGCACAGCAAATACTGGTCATAGTGACAGAACAACTCTGTGCATCATCTTCTACCATTTATCTTCTCAGTAGATTTACATTTAAACTACAGTTTCACACTTCTGATCCTGCCAGCACCCTTCTTCCCCTGGTGTAAGCAGCCACCCTCTGAAAATTCAGCCCTGCAGGATCCGTTACAAGGATTTCAGATGCCCCCAAGTTCCTGTCAGACACACAGTGCTCCAGGAAGGAAAGGCTGGGAACTGCTCAGAGGGCTTCCAACTGCACCCAAGCAGGTAACCCATGCTGCAGCCAAGCACAACAAGCCTGCTGGACCTTTACAGCACTGCTGATTTTAAGATTTATGGAGTTTTGCAACTCCTCAGCAGTGCAACCGTGGCATTTTTCTCTTCCTTTCCTCTATATTTAGTCTTTAATAAAGAAAGGAAATTAAATGCAAATAGCAGAGAGACAGGAAATGAAAAAGTTAATGTTAGAGAGACAACTTTAATTCATCTATGGTTAAATATACTCTCTACTTTCAATTATTAAGTTTAAATCCTTTATTAAATTTAGAGTGTTTTTATTTGCATAAGTTGAGATCTCAGAAGTTATTTATTTGAAAGGGCCTTTTAAAATTTGCTATATTATTTGTGTATGGCAGCATTTATACTGAAGACATTTTTTTAATTATCTGAAGTCAACAGAGACACTGTGCTACCTTTCCTCCACATCAGGCAGAGCAGAGGTAACAGGAGATAAATTAAACGTCAAAGTAGGTCAAATGAATGTTAAAATAGTTCCCAATTCCAGCAAAACAATTTTGTATCAAAGAAAACTTTATCTGGTGTTCCCTACAACATGCACATTTTTACTTCAGGGAAGGAGTACTGCAAAACACTACAAAAATGGTTTCAGTTTGGTGTTTTTCTTTTACCCATCTCCCTTTTTCTCCTTGAAGCTTGCTGAAGAATAACTTGAGCTCCCGAACTGTCAGGTTGTAGCTGGCCAGCACACCCAGCATATCCACCAAGAGATCTGGAAAGGAAAACAACAGCAATACAATTGCTTAATGAAATGCAACATCAAACTTCTAGCCATTAATAAACCTTTCCCTGAGCTTTGACATAAAAGGACTACAGTCTGAGCCATACCCTGGGTGAAGCTGTACCTGCAATCATGCTGTCAGCTTTATCGATCCTCCTGAGGACTTGTTCCACCAGCCCCACCTCTGTGCAGGCCTGCAGATTGCGTATGCTCTTCTTCAGGATGGCTGTGAACACACTCCACACCTCAGCCTGGCAGGTGACATCACACTTGTCCAGCAAGTCCACCATGCAGGTGATGCCCTCTCCTTCTTGGATGATAAAGTTCATTTCCAAGTCAAACTGACCCCCAACGAGCTTTCAGAAGAAAAAAAAGATATCAAATAAAACTAAGACAACTGTTTGAAAGCACCACTCCAGGTCTGAAGTTCTGCATTCTGCAAGAAGAAAGCTATCAAAGAAACCAGCTTAAAAACCCACAGTGAGGCCAACATCAACATATGTCTTATTCTTCCTCTGTTCCAAGTTCTGTTGAGCAACTTTGACGAATCTGCACCTCAGGTGTAGCTCTCTACTACCAGAGAACTGCTGCAGGAGAACATTTGGGCAGTTTAAGATTCAATGTCCTTAGCTGCCTTACAGAGCTGAAAAGTGAAGTGACCAAGTGAGTGCTCCAAAACAGGGGAGAGCCAAGGCAGCTAAGTCACCTTAAATGGCATCCAGCAGCCCTAAAGACTTTCCTTACACATCACTCCTCAAATAGAAGGGCCATTCTAGCCAAAAGGAACTAGAATTCTACTTCAGAACTATTGCCACTTACAAACATTTAAGGGTCATCCCTGAGATACTGAATAAAGCTGGTTAATTATTAACTGCCACTTTCACTAGCAGCCACAGGTACTAAAAGGAAGCAAAGATTTGCTGTATTTGCACCAATGTGAAACAGCAACATTGCTTGAAGCCTTTGGCCACAGCACTTAAATCCTGTAATATTTCAAGTTTTCTAGATACAGGCTTTGCTTGAACATACACCAAGTACCTAGCCATGTATGCATGTGCCAGGGGGTGGAGGGGGGAAAGAAAACCTGCTTCATTCTCATTGCTGTACTCAATAAAATCAAAACTCCAGTTGAGGGAAGGAGACTGTACTAACCTAACTCCTCTACCCCAACTCCCCCCCTCTACGTTTTAAACTTCCCTTGGACTTTAGAACTGCATTAAACTTAATGCTTCCCATGCTTGTCAAAATACCCATTATATACCAGCCTACAAAGAGGAATTCACATAGTCTTGATTCAAATGATCAAAATGGAACTATGACTAAATGTATTTTAGCTTGTTCTTACATCTGCAAGTCTAATAAAAGACTTTATTTCTGTCCTACATGTTGTTCCTTCCACAGCTTTGACCACAAAGAGCTTCACTACTGTCCCTTGCCATAGTCATGTCACATCAAAACTGCCCCAAAACACCTACTCTAACTTGCTTCCACATGGGCTCCAACAGCTTCTCTCAGCTAGGCAGGACCTGAAGATAAACCCACCCAACAGAACAGAATACATGCTCTTCATTAAGCACTGAAATTACCATACATTCTCCTCAAGTGCCTAAATCTTGTCACTTTGAAGAAGCAATCTTTGGTCTCCTGGGCATAAATCAGCGATGCCACGCACCAGAAGCAGCAGAGAAAGTTACTGCTTTTCTGACAGAGTAGACAATGTCTCATGGTAACCACTTCTAAACAGTAATTTACACTCCTCCACTTTCTCCCCTCTTGGCCACGAAAAATAATTATGCAATTTACTATCAGATGCTTCCTTAATATATAGGGAAATGGCAGGAACTGAATGGGGAAACTTGAATTATACTCCCAGCTTCTCTATATCAACCCACGCTGTCAACTCCAACAAATCCATCAAGTCATTACCACCCTCCAAGCCTCAGTTTTCCCTGCCCACGAGGTGGGGCAGAGGCCTACCTCAGGAGAGCTCTGCAAGGTGGAATTCAAGGAGAATGCTGGGGCAGAATGGACCAACACAGGAATTACTGCAGAACAAATGCAAAGGAAAAAGTACACCCCCCCCCCCTTAAAAAAATCCCCTGAGCAACACGTTGGCACACAGAAATTACATAACCAGTGTTATGCTTTATTCTACACTAAATTTATCAACCTCTCTAAAACTGAGGTACTCCTCAAGGAGCCACTTTCTCACCATGAAGGTAAGAAACAAAGAAAACTGCATCCCAGGTACAGACAGAGCAGCTGAGGGTTAAACACTGGCCACAAAGCACCTGCTAACTCTTAACAAGAAACTCAACTCTTTGTGCACTTGGTTTTAACTATGAGCCAACCATCAATTCTCACACCAAAACAGAAACCAGAGGTGACCTTACCTTCACCCCATAGTCTACATCACCAATCTTTCACTTTTGGCTAGATACACTATTATCAGTAACCACCCATCCAGGAAGCTGTCAAATGAGGTTTCCAATCTCATCTGCAAACAGAAGCTTTCCAGCAAGTACCTTCTAGGAATAATATGCTATGGAAGAAATAATTACCTTTTGAACATTGCCTTTAAGAAAAGTAAGGACAAAAAAATATTGGCAGAAAAAGTAATATCCCCAAGGCAGAGTGGAGCTGATGGACTGGATGCATGCATACCCATTAGACACACACAAGCACACCCACCCCCCCAGTATTTCATATTAACCCTTTCTAATGGTGATTTGAAACTGATCAACCTTCAAAACACAAATTTGTTTCCAATGACAGGGATCATAATCCAGGCCCGTGCATTGGCTAGTTATTATCTGAGCTGCAGTAATGGCTGTGCACAGCAAAATGTAATCTTCCCAAATGTCACGGTAAGTTATGAATATCTGAGCAGCTTAATGCACCTTACTAGCCATGAAGTGTGAGAATGTAATCTTATTACCTTTTTTATGGTTGTATTTTTTTGAATAATGTAGCCTTTGAACTGATGTATAGTCTTCCCTTGCACTTTAGCATGATTTGGTCTCCTATGTCACATAGTACATTTTTCAAAATTCTCCAATTCAACGTATTTTAAGCCCTGGGCTGAGCTGCATAAACCATCTTTATAGCAACCCACAGGGTGGCATAACGTTTTCTTTCTTCAGCAATAAGTACAGGCTTACAGGAATGGTCTTAAAGAGCAGTATTCAAATACATCCTCACAAATGTTACATTTCACCAGTTATATTTACCTTCAAAAACCAACCCAACCCAATAGCTCATGCTTTTTGGTAAAATGCTTCTACACTTAGCTGGCTGAAAACAGGGAGAATGCAGCAGTTTGAAACTATACACTCAGAGCATGAATCCCCCACCCCCTCAGAGAACCAAACTAATGAGAAGTCAACATAACCGCACTAATTCTAAGTATTAAATAGCACTACCTCACTTCTAAATAGGAACAAAAAGCCAATTGAAACACACAAAACCTCTCTTTGCAATGAAAATTCCCCCTAACCTAATATGGAAGAAGTGATCCAAGATATAACAGAGATAGTTCACTCCTTGGGTGAGCAACTGCTAAACTACAGGATGCAGAAAGCAGCCCTGAACACACACAAGTCAAGCTCCACTTTCCTGAAAGATCATCATCTAGATGATTAATCTGATTTAAAGTCATTTCTCCCAATGCCAGGCATAAAATATTTTTAAAAACTTGTAAGAAAATATAAGAAAAAGTATTTCAATGAACTATAACAGAAAAAAAAAAAAAGTCCAAGACTACAATCAGCCTTTCTCCTGGGAAGGACAAACTGGCCATATTTAGGACAACTACAGGGCTGGATTTATCTCCACAGTTTCACCTCAGATCTCCAAACAAGAATTCACTGAGTTTCCTCATCCTTCTGGTTACTAGATAATACACATCACAAAAAAATTGTTTTGTTCCCTGAAGTCAGGATGGAAGAACTGTTAATCAAGCAAACTGTCACCTCCCTTTTCTTTAAGACATTGATTCTGTAATTGCAGAACTGTTTTCTTAGCATGTCCAAAACAAGTATGGACAATGCCTAATCCCATGAAGGAAAAAAATACAAATAGGCCAGCTCTGCATCAATGGAAATTTTAACAGTTTATGCTTAACAAGAAGGCACAAAGCTGTGTGTACAAAGGTGATAACTGCCTGCACTCTTAGATTCATAAAGGTAAGATACTTGTACATGACAAATGTCAAGGAAGAGGTGCTGCAGGTAAACCAGTTGCTATTTCAGCAACTAAGAATTTTATATACACCCTGTGTTTTACCTCTGTTCACAAAATAGCTTATGTTATCCAAAATGCTCCTGTTCTTACTGCAATTTTACCTCATGTCAGCCAACCCGAGGTTAAAAACAAACCAACCTCCCTCCACATCTTTCCTCCCTCAATGATGAAATCTGAATGCAGCTTCTGGAGAGCACAAACACAAAAAAGATGGGTTCATTTTAGCCATTATGCTTCTGTGTAACAATAAATATAATATTCTTTGCCTACATGCACTCTTCCACCAAATAAGCCACATCCTGGCCTTCATCCCCTCCTCACATATTCTGAAACTCAGAAACAAATTTATTGATCATCAAAAACAGATACCAAAGATTTCAAAGTGATACCAGGCTAATCAAATCCCCTCAGGGCACACAAAAAGTCACCACAGTGGTACACATCCTGGGTGGGATAAAGAGATGGTTCAGATTCCTAAAGGTGTGTGCAGACCAGAAGAGGAAAGACATGAGAAAAGAATCACTCATACATACTAATCTTCAGCAATTCATTCTCTGTCCCTCACCCCCCTCTTCTCCATGCAGTCTTTTCTGTCACTAACACCACAGGCAGCACTGGGAACATACTGAAGCACAAGTCCTAGGAGGAGATCTGGAGGGAGGCCTGCTGATAGTTTGGGTAAGTGTGTCAAGGGATGAACTTAGCATGAATGTCAAAGTCAGTGAAATCACAACAAACAGGGCTGAGGCCCAGAGGAGTTACAGGGAGGCAAGAATGGGACAGAAACAGCCTGGATGACAATATTTATTTTTTCTTTAATGTATTGCCACTAAATCCACCATAATGCAACCAGAAAAAAATAGACAAAGCACAAAGAACTGTGGAACTTGCTTCAACTTTGGTCTTGTTTCCTTCCATGTTAAAAAAACCCAAACAACTCCAAACAAAGAAGAAAAAAAAAAATAGAAACAAACACAACAAACCACACCCAAACCCAAACACCCACAACAATCAAAAGCAAACAAAAAGCAAACAGATGTTTCTTGAACAGGAAACCACAAACTTTTCCTGCTGATATCTCAGGCTGAAGTCACCAGCTTGTCCCATCCCACACTACCCAAGAGTTACACTACAAAAAAAAGAATACTGAAAGTACAAATCTCCTCTGCTTTGTAAGGAAAAAAGGATGGCAAGAAAGAAAGGTGGGGGGGGGAAAGTACATTTCCCTCTTAATTAGCTGCTTTCTCTCCTGTTGCCAAGTTCCTAACAAAACCTACACTGCCATTTACCTGGCAAATAAGAAAGGTCAGTTTTACATCAGGCATCTCAACAGTGACACTGCACCAGAGCACTGCACCCACTTCACCCTTGGGGCTTTCTTATGATTCTCAACTACAACCAAAGCTGGGTGATGTAGGAGAAATAATTCCCACTGCTTCCCTTCCCACTGGTGTAACATGAATGTTCACTATTACAACAAAAACTCTTTGAGTCTCTCTCTCATCTGGAAAACTGCCTAAAATGAAATGTAACAATCATGCCCAAGGTGTTAGGAGTCTCCTGCTGCCACCTAATGTTGCATTTGAAACCCTCAGCCCAGCATCACACCTTTAATAGAGTCTCAGCAGTGTCACTCTCTTCCTCTCCAAGCCAGCTCTATGCCAGCAGCTGACACCTCCTGCTCTGTGACAGGGCAGGAGAAATCTCTATGCCCACCAAATAACAATGGATAATTCCAAAAAGATATTTAAGTATTGGTTCATGTACATTTCATGTGTTCAAACACATCTATTGGCTGATATAAAACTAGAGTTTCTCCAACTTCCTAATTGCTAACTAAGAAGGAAAAAAATTATTCATGTACGTTTCATGTGTTCAAACACATGTAAGTATTGGCTGATATAAAACTAGAGTTTCTCCAACTTCCTAATTGCTAACTAAGAAGGAAAAAAATTACTCTCTCATCCAAAATAATAGATATGAAAAGTGCTAACTAAGAAGGAAAATATTTTGCTGAATTCACAGAGGAAAAAGCAGCAAATCTCTCCTCACCCAGCCAGTCTGAGACACAGCACAGCTCAGTACAACTTTGCTTTTAAAAGGCACTGAGCTGTGTCTATGTACACACTAAAATTACTCTCATCCAAAATAATAGATATGAAAAAGCAAAATTCTTGTCCACGTAGGTACAATATATCTGAAGTGTTTTTATGATGGTGACAGGTACCTATAGTTTTGTCCTTCCCAAGAGGAGGAGGGGGGGAAAAAAACAGTTTTAGAAGATAATTATCAATGATGCTGTATTTAGCCTTGCTAATAATCTAGTATTTTCACTCTGCTTACAAGCATTTTTACACAATTAGTTCAGTTTATAGTGTGTAGCTGAAGCCTCAGTGCAAGCAGAGCAATGCAAGGAAGAATCACCTCTACATCAGGGCAGGGGCAGCAGCACTATGAATTCCAAATTTTATACATTTTGGGGTTTAGTCTATTTTAGAAGAAGCTTTTAGAATTTTATTTTAAGTGCATACCAAAAAATGAAATTCAATCTCTAGCTCAGAATGGGAACAAGCCCAGTTTTAAGTGAAATTATTTGTGAAGTTAAATTTTATCCTGAAAAAAAAAAGAAATAGGGACCAAAAGAATCCTACACTAATTTTATCAGCTTGATATCCATGCAAAAAATGATCTCAGCACAAACAATTCCAATTAAAACCAAACATGCTGGAGCTCCAAACAGCTAGAGCACTCCACACCATCATCCACAGTGCTTCTGTCCTCCCTTCTGGAAATTCTACAACAGGTTCCAAAGATGCAACAACAGACAAGTCCAGTATTAGGGATTTCACCCTCCTCCCAATCTCTCCTGACTCCTCAAGAGGTGGGAGAGGTGGTACAAGGAGGAACATGAGCCCAAACACAGTCACTAGAGG